CCCAAAAAAAAGAAAGAAAGAAAGAAAGAAAGAAAGAAAGAAAGAAAGAAAGAAAGAAAGAAAGAAAGAAATTAATAAAATAAATAATAATAATAATAATACATTAATACACAATTACATATATTGAACTTAACAAAAATGCAAAAATGGACAAAAACAAATGGCAAAACTCCATCAAGGCAGCTCACTCCATGGGCAGTATTTACTTTCAGTATTGCATTTTGTATATATTCATTTTGTTTACTTTGTTGTTTTTAAAAATACATTAGTAAGTTTGTAGTTCTGTGAAATTACAGATTACCTTAACAGGAATAGGTAATGGAGGCTTGACAAGACTTTCTTTAAAGATATTTTGGGGTCAGGTTTAAAAAAGGCAAATGTGAATTGTAAAAGTGAGATCAGAGGTCAAAAGGAACATTACATTTGATTAAAACCTATAATATGGTTAAATATATACAGAGAGGGAGGGGCTCAGAGTAGAGCTGCTGCTGCTCCACATCGAAAGGAGCCAGCTGAGATGGTTCGGGCATCCCCCGGATAAGCTGGAGGAGGTGGCTGGGGAGAGGGAGGTCTGGGCTTCTCTGCTTAGGCTGCTGCCCCCGCGACCCGGCCCTGGATAAAGTGGATGAAGATGGATGGATGTATATATATAGAGAGAATAAATGTTTAGAATCCACATACACCAGCATAATTTCCTAAATGCTGCCAATACAAACAAAAGCAGTAGAATTTAAAGCATAGTTTCAAAGATAAGACTTTTTGTGAAAGTTTGACCTTATTTGACCTTGAAGAGGTGATATCAGTATAATTCCATATATGCCTATATGTTGTCAGTATAAATAATTACAGTAAGAAACCATTTTAAATGGTTCTATATAGCATAATTGTCACTTTGACCTTGAATTCAATCTGTTGGCTTTGGAGGAGAGGTCAGAGGTCAACTGTGACATGATATTTTAAATCTTTACATGGTACTTTTTATCCTGACAATACACACAACACTTCAGATCAGGATCATAGCTTCTACGTTGTACGGCTTTTTGTCAATTTTGACCAATAAATCATTTAGTTGACATTGAAGATTTTGGTGGATGTAAGACACATTTTAATGGATCGTTAACGTGACCCTGCTCTACACTCTACAAAGTTTTATCAGAAATGACGCCAGTCTTTTTGAGCTATTGTGTTCACAGGCAGAGAGAATGACACGCACGCAAACACTAACAAAAAGATAACCACTTCATTGGAGGTAATAACATTGTGCAAAGGTTACTGACAAGAAAAACTGGTATGACCCCCTAGTCTTGTAATTAATGATTACAACTAATTAGCATACTTTATTCCAAGCAACTGCTTCAAGGTTAAACTAGAAAAGTGCTTTCCTGGTTCGTTCTTCAAAGCGCCAAAGATATATGCTTAACAAGCACAGTAGGTTTAGTTTCTTCCAGTTAAAACCAGCCTGAGGTTTTGTGTAATGCTGTGAGTATGCTATAGTTAGGAAAAAGTGCATGATTATGATGTGTAATAAAATAAATAAACTGAAACTACTGAACTGAAGTCACAGCTTGGCAGTCAACATGAAGATCAGCTATTAGCTACTGTACAGAGATGCTTAACAGTCACATATCAAAGTAACTCTCCCGTGAAACTGTATCATTCACATGAATGAAGCCATCACATGAATAGACGGGAGAATGCGATAGAAAACCATTAATGGAAAAAACGGTTAAAAGGTTTAACTGTGTGTAAACATTAAGATTAGGAAATGACAAAATGAAGTAATAAGCAGAGAACATATAGGGCAAATTTGGTCACAACTATGCTTCTTCCACACTATTTGAACATTTGTGGCCCCATACACAGTAATAAAGAGTCTTTTAAGCATCTGTTTTGGAAACCTGCAGCATGGTAACTCTCTTTAGGTATATAATCAGTTTAAGATATGAGATATGATAGGTTTTGCATTGGCCAAAAGTGAAGCATGCTGGTTGTAGTTTATCCTGTCGGTGCACTACAAACACAGCAAGTATGCGCTGTTGGGAAAGAGTCAGTCAAAACAGATTTCTTCAGGCTTTCGGCAGAGCAAAGATTGGCATGTGACATTTAGACTTAGAGTGTATCTGCTTCTTCTGTTCTGTCTAACGTATGTCCACGCCAAGCACTTGTCTTATAAGACCAAAGTTAATGGAAATATGTAAATCCAAGGTTTTAGGGAGGATTAGCAAAGTCAAAAAAATGCTGCCTGCACTTGTCATTACGTTTGCTGCCAAGGACTCTATACTATTTAAGTGCTTTTTTTTTATTTTATTTAATCTTGTAAAGAACTTTGTGTTCCATATAATAAATAAAAGTTTGATTTGATAATGAATTGGACTCATTAGTCCATCTTAACCTTATTGTCCTACCTGTTCCCTCTTTTCTCTTGGAAGACATTTCAAATCCTTAAACCGTGGATCCAATGCTGTGGCCACCTCGAACCATATCTCGTTGCCATTAGCTCGTCGTGCTGCCAGATCCTTCTGGAAGGCATTCTTGAACTTCACCACGTAGGCAGGATCATCATCAGTAATGTCCATGACACGGTACAGATGGCGAAAAGCAGGCAGCACTACAGAGCAAGAGACGTAGGCCTCACCACCCAGCAGCTCTGTCACATACCTGCAGAGGTGGAGAGGTTTGCTAAATAAACCTAGCTGGATTCATTTAAATCAAAGTGTAACTGATTCCCAATTTAATTGTCCTTAAAAGTTCCTTGTTATGTTCATTAATTTTGATTTTACACATGTAACAGTAGTTTATATAATTAAAATGGGAAGGTGTTTATTTGAACTTACTTGCATGGTTCAAGCAGGAGCTCCAGCCTCTGCAGTTTCGCCCACTCAGCTTCGGTTGGCAAGACCAACCTGTGGTTCTGTTGGTCCAACGTAGCCTGGACAGCCTCTCGGTTACATAGGAGGCGTGAGACCATTGCGAGAGTCGAGTTCCACCTGGTGGGTACATCCTGTATAAGTTGATCGCTCTTCTTTCCGAGTGCTACTTGTTGTTGGTTAAGTTCTGTGGTACTCGCAGGGCTTTGTTTAAAATGACCAACAATCTTGCGGCACTTTGCCAGTACACCGACAAAACCACTGCTATCGAGACATACCGTGATGGTCCTCTGGAGAATGTGAGCATTGCAGGCGATGTGCTCATATGGAAGTGCTCTCATAGCAGCCAGCATGTTTGCTGCGCTGTCTGTGCCAATGGTGGATATCTTGTTTTCAATACCCCAGTCATTTGCTACCTTGAGGAACTGTTCGGCGCATTTATCAGCAAAGTGCCTGGTTTCTGTTCTCATGACGGTCAGTGCAAATGAGTTGAGGTTCCACTCACTATCAATAAAGTGTCCAGTCACCCCAAAATAGCTGTGGTTGCCAGCTGAGGTCCAGTGATCTCCGGTTATAGCAACACAGTTGGGAGAATCCTCCGCCAAAATCTCAAGTTTGTTTTTCTTTTCGCCGTCGTACATTTTGCTGATTTTGGTCGTTACTGTAGTCCTGCACGGCGGCTTGTATGACGGGTCATTGGACGCAATTTGCAACACCTCTGTCAATCCTTCGTCCTCTACTATATTTATCGGCCTACAGTTCATCGCTATCCACTTGGCAATAACATTAGTCAGCCTGTCGGTCGCAGACTTGCTCATACGAGGGGTATTCTCTAGTTTTGTTTGGCGAAAAGCTTTGCTCTGGCTTGCTATATTGCTAACGTCTTCACTGCTAGCTGTTGCTGCACTCGCGGCTGGGTGCTTTGCGTTGAGGTGATAGGCCAAACTTGAGCTGCTTCGGTGGTAAGCAAACTCCTTCTTACACTCTAGGCAGACCACTTTACCTTTGTCAATGGTGCCGTCGGGGCGTTTATGAAATACAAATTTCCCGTTCATTGGGCCAACAACTCTCAGATGCGCCTCCATATCCACACTGTAAGCTAATCACCACTTCTCACCTTGACCTCACGACGTGACTCCACCCCCAACAAGTCAAGCACAAGGAGCCCAGCACATAAAAACGGATTTTATAACATAGCAACTCTCATACAAAATCAATGACGTCAAGAGATTAAAAATTAGATTAACGAGATTAAAAAACATAACGCGCTAAATAGCATTGTAATTAATAAATCGCAATTAACGCGATAATTTGACACCCCTAATGTATATATATATGTATATGTATATATATGTATATATATGTATATATGTGTGCGTGTGTGTGTATGTGTATGTATACGTATGTGTATATACACTTCATAGGGAGGCTAATGAAAATGTTCGTATTCCTAACATATACTATGAAATATATATTGCAAATATATAGGTTTTTCATTTTTGTCTTCATGGTTATGCATACCCTCCACTATCCACCAGGTGGCACTACATGTCATTGCTTCTCATTATGTTCAAATATGAAAATAAACCACTCTAGCAGTTAATTTGTTTATTGAGATTCTGTTTCAGTCATGTTGGCTTTGTTTGAATGGATCTCACCCTGAAAACAAAGTCTGTAAGTTTGTCAGTAATCCAAACTTTTTCTGTCAGTGTTTCCTTCATTTTGAGCCTTTTCACCTCACTGTCTCCACTCTTGGAATTGCTGTCTTATTGTTGAGTTTTTACCTTGCAATATAAATTGCCCAGACTCTTGTGAATTTCTGTATAAATAGTCACCTTTCTAAATCTCTTATCTTTATTTAATCAACTGATTAAAAAAAAGAATAACATGTAATGAGTGTGATAGTCTGTCAGTTTTGATGTATTTGTGTTAAAATTAGTAATTGCAGGGGAAATCAGCTCCAAACGTAAAGCACAGCCACAGCACCTGCAGATGTGTGTGATGTGTAAGTAACATTTTTACAGTGTACATCCTTGCTTTATATCAGTGATTTACATTGTTTGGATACCATACACATACCTGGTGTGATGTGGCAGTACACCTATCAGTCAAAGTTGCTATGCCCTTAACTCTAGTATTCAAAATGAATAAGATATTAGACAAAGATGTAAACATATCTTTGCTTCCATATAGACAATGTTTTACAATTTTAAAAAAGTCCCAATAATGTTGACTGTTTTTGTTTGCAAATGTCATATGCATCACGTTGACCACTGAAAAAGCACTGCTATAAATTTTACATTTGTCTTTTTATTTATTTTTAGATTTGTGTAGAACAATGAACTCATTATATTGTTGTCTGTGGTTTGTAAAACCATCCATCACAACTGTAAGCATCTATTTTAGAGATTAAAAATAATAAATTCCAAAGGAAAGACACTTACAAGATAAGACATCATTTGCATGCATCACATCATGTGATCATACACCTAGTAAACACGTAACACAATTAATGATTTCCTATTATCATCATATTTTTATTCAGTGAATATAGTGAATATAAATTGAGAATAAAATGCAACCAATGTTGGATAACTGTACAATGTACTGATGTGCCCCTTTTGTAAAAAATCTATGCAATTACTCTAACATTTTAATAATTGTTAGGTCTAAACTCCCAGACCTCGCTGTCTCAGAAACCTGTCACTGCGAACAAAGCAGACACTCAGAGCTCTTTTGGTTTTGTTGGCAATGGAACAGCGTCCTGGAGAGCAGTGTTGCCACTCGCCCATCCAAGCAACAACTTCAAACCTGACTTCCCTCTTTTGCTCTATTTATTGACAGCGGTTATACACAGTTTGGGTAACCACATGACAGTTTTAAGGCACGCATGTGTAAGCTTGTCTGTGTGTGTATATGCGTGTATGTGGGTGTGTGTTTCTGACACCATATATGGCATGGTTACTTATCAAACTTTTCAGTTGCCCTGTACATGTCATGGTCCTGGGTCATTTTGACCTAGCGTTCTTAGTTAACTGTGTGGCCCACCATGTGTTTCCTCATGAGTCAGTTCCCTTAGAATCTTCCAGTTTAGTTTTATTTAATTTTGTATCACCTTTCCCTTCTGTCAGCAATAAAGCTGTAGTTTGAGTTCAGTCCTGTTTCCCCTGAGTTTGCGTTTGGGTCCAATTCCTGCCTGCACACAGCCTGATCAAGACAGTACAGGATGCGACCTTTCAATGACATCTCAAGTCACTCTATTTAGGCATGACCTTTTAACACCTCAACATGTACAAAAGCAAAAGTAAGCAGTCCTGCTAAACTTATAAGAACAGAAATGGTAAATGGCCTGTATTTGTACAGCGCTTTACTAGTCCCTAAGGACCCCAAAGCGCTTTACACATTGAGTCATCCACCCATTCACACACACATTCACACACTGGTGATGGCAAGCTACATTGTAGCCACATCCACCCTGGGGCAGGAAGTTGCAGTTTCTTGTGTGCAATGGAAAATTGTCGACGAGGCTGCTTCCTACATCTCATGTCTGCACTTCTAAACCTGAAAATAAAGCTTCTCATCCTCTAGTTCTTTCTGCACACTGACAACCATATTAGGACACACATTAGGACTTTTAACTGTTTCTCTCAAGGTGGAATACCAGCGTTTTGACATCTCTTTACTTGTATCTGCAAAAGAAGAAAACAAATGACATAATAACAAATGATTAAACAAATGATTTAATGTCTTTGCTCTGACTGTACTGCTCATAATTTAAAAATGAACTGAGGTGAAAAGGCCTACAACTACTAAAAAAACTGCAGTACCTCAATCTTTTTATTTTGAGAAAGTTAGTGTGAAAGAAGAAAGTTGATTTTAATAATAATAACCAACAGTGGAAATCTAAGTTGCATTTTTATTAGAACCATTTAATCAGAACTGCAAATAATGTTGTTCATTAACCAACATGGACTAAAAGTATTAATACAGACTTACATCTTATAATAAAGATATGAACTATAACTTGTTCTTTTTAAATCATTTTGTTAACGTTGAAGTTTAGTCTATATTTGGAATGTTGACATAACTTAATATACATGTTCCTATGCTGTGCTACTGATGTACAAACCACAACAGCAATATATATTTAAAGACGAAACTAGATCACACCAACCTGTCAGTGCTTTAATGCAGGGCTCTTTTTAGATGCTCTGCACTCTGAACTTATTTTTATAACTGACTGGTTTAGTTTCATTTTCTTTTTAAGACTTCAATAATATCCATTTTCTCCTGCCCCTTGTTGCTGTTAAATTTGATAATCAGTCTAGTTTTATTTTACAATTATGTAAGAGCCTCTAAGAGCAGTGCCTGTAAACATTTTTGTGCAATCCTTAGAAAAATGAAGATAGTTTTGCTTCTTTTAGCATGACTGGTTTTACAAGTGGTACAGTGATAGTCTGAGAAAACATATCTTTGAAGGGTTGAACAGATCTCATTGTGTCAGCCAACAGTACCTTGACTTCTGGTAAATCCTCAGACCCATTATGAGACCTGGTCCATAATTTTGTTGTACATGTAAAATGCAATAAAGATATATTCTATTCTATTCTACTCTATTCTATTCCATATCCCTGAGTTCTTCCTGGTACAGGTCTCATGTAGCCAGAGTGTGTAGGTAGTTTCTGGATGGTGAAAGCATCGATCTCAGGCCCTCACTTTCCCCACACCTGAATCCATTTCACAGCTTCTGGGACATTTTGTTTTATGCATTTGATGCTGCCAAATTGTGCCACAGATTGTCCAAGGGATCCCTTGATCCAGGATAGGACCCCCCAGGATCTAGTGTCACATAGGGAGCCACATTAATGAGCCACATTATGACATAAATAGGATCAGCATGTGATTCAATTTAATTTCTTATTTTTGTTGTGATTTTGGTTTTCACTGGTTTCCTGTTATGTCATTTTGATCTATCAAGATCGAAGTGCCATTACAGTTAGGTTAATATATATTTGGACACAAGTTGTTGTTGTTTTTTTTTACCTGTTAACCAAGACATATTCCAATTATAGTTATATAACAGATGTGGACATAATGTGTAGACTCTCAGCTGTCATTTGAAGGTATCCACATTGAAATTGGATTAATGGTTTAGGGGTTTCAGCTTCTTAACATGTGACACCCTTTTTTCAAAGGGCCTATGTCTTTTTAAAGGGACGTTATATTATTATCAGTTAAGCAGATAAAAAGCCTGGAGTTCATTTGAGGTGTGGTGCTTGCATTTGGAAGATTTTGCTGTGAATAGAGAACATGCGGTCAAAGCACCATATGGGTGAAACAAACCATCCTTAATCTGAGAAATAGCTACAATAGTAAGAGTGGCGTTTCATAATACAGATGGACAATGAACAAAAACAAACAAACAAAAAAAAGCTAAAGCAACCTAGTGTCATGGTTCTAGGTCATTGTGACCCAGCATTTTGAGTCTCTTGTGTTTTGATATTTTATGTTATGGTTTATGTTCTGAGTCCTTTGTTGTGCTGTTTTGATTATTGTAGTTTTCCTTGTTACACTAGGTTCGATTATGGCTTTACAGTTTTAGTTCTTAGGTTTTGTTATGTGGCTTCCCTCTGTTCCATGTTGTGTCTACTCTGTGCCTTTTTGTCCCACTGTTCAGGTCTCTATGTTCTGAGACTTAACAGTCTCTGTTAAGTTTACGTGTCTAGATTTCAGTCGGTGTGTTTCCTGTTTTACTTTAAAGGTCCGTGTCTCATGTCAGTGTTTCTAGCTTTGCTTCCCTTGTTTCGTCCTGCCTAATTACTCCCAGCTGTGCTCTCCTTCTGTGTCTCATTCTCCTCATTATCTGTCAATGTATTTAAGCCCGGTGTTTCTCTTTGTTAGTGTTGTGCTCTCCCTCATACTTGTGTAATAAGGGTGTCATTGCCAGGAAAGCATTTTCAACTAAGTATTAGAAATGAACATTTTATTTTCAGTTATTTAATTTGTCCAGTTACTTTTGAGCCTCTGAAATGAAGAGAATGTGTCAAGAAATCCTTTAGTTCCTTTTATCAAATCTTTTTGTTCAACCCACTGAATTAAAGCTGAAAGTCTGCACTTCAACAGCATCTAAGCTACCTAAATCTTAAGATTTATCAAAAGTTTGTTAACTTGTAAGATGAAAAGACAGTTTTAACTTGTGAACACACATATAGACTTTGCATTTCTTTAATCAAACAGAAAAAAATGAGAAAAGGGGAAGCAAGGCTGTGTGGATGCAAAATCCTGCAGAAAAAAGTAAGTAAAAGTTCATTAAAGTCC